CCCACTAACAGATTTACTGAATTTCAGCAAGGGACAAAAGATTTGGGTTTCATTTGTGTGGACTGAAGCTAACTGGATTTGCAGCTACTCGAGTCAAGCCCAAGAGGCCACGGAGGCAAAAAGAAAAATTACATAAGGGTTTAATTGCTCCTGTGACATTAGCGTCATCTCAGGTATTAATCCCAATTGTTCCCTTGCATAACGAACATCTCGTTGGCTTAGTAGATTTATGGTGGATGGAGAATGAAGTGAGGGTCCCTGCTGCTTGGATCGGCCAGTTCGTGGGCCCCTGTCCTGCTTGCAGGACTGCGTGGAGCGTGTCCTACACAGGCAGAGCGTGCCACAAAGGGGCAAGATACAAAACCTTCTTCTAAAACTGAAACCCGGTGCTCTATCACTCATTTCTGTAATTGTTTGCCTAAAGAGAGTATTACAAAAGTCTGTGACTGAAACTACAGAATTGATCTTGAAGCAAGTTTGGTTTTTGAAACATTTTGAAAGGGTTTGACAACTGGAATACATGAAACTGAAAAACTTAATATAAAGAAACAGGCATCACAATAAATACTTATATCTGTGGTTTGGGAAAACTTAGGAAGTTGAGTTAAAAATCTTGTTAGTGATTCCATAATCATTTCATTTGCACTTTTACTTGAAAATTTACTCTTAGGTACTTTACATTATAAAGGACCACTAGGTCTTATATGCAGTTCTACCTTCTCTAGGTATACAACTTCTTACATGTTTTCCCCTTCATGCAATATTTACTATCATAATGCAGGATTGAACAGCACTCTGGTTCAGGGCGTGATGACATAACCCAGAGCAAACTCTCAGTCATGGAGCGCAACCCAAACTGAACCACACTGTATCCCTATTTTCAAGATAAATTATGATGTATTCAGAATCTAATAATCTTTTCATCTTTTGGCACATTTTTTTTCATGCATTTTTCCATTAGTATATTTTTCAGGTTGCAGAAAAATTATGTGATATAAGTAATACTGGAACAATTGTTTTAGACACAATGGTCTTTTTGTCACTTCATACAGTCTCTAGAGTCTGACTTTAATATAACTTGTGAGAAAAATGCTTAGGCTATCTTCTGCAATGTTTTGAAAAGAATAGTAAATAGAGAGCTTATTCTGTGTAATCAAAAAAAAAAAAAATGCTTCTAGTATGATTTTAATGCAATTACCTTGTTTTTTTCTAACCTTACAGAACTTTTAGCTTGTTCTAAAATAAATCCAGATGTAATTTTGTCCTTCATCTGCAAAGGATGAAGAATCAGCCCAACAGCAACTGCAGCGCAGCGTGTCCCTTTCTAACAGGACACGCTTGTATAAATCCTCAGGCTTAGTAGTAAACTCAGCATTCAGAGCTTGGTGGTGGTGGTGCGTTGCTATGGGATCAAGCAAATGGGAAGAATTTTGGAATGCGCCAAAGGAAGAGGCTTTCAGAGGCTGCAGCTTTCCAAAAGCTCCAGCACCCCTGGCCCTTGCGTCCCGCCCCCGTTGCAGTCCCGGGGAGGCCTGTGGCTGCTCTCGGTGGCCGTGGGAGCGTGCCCGAGTTTTGCAATGCCTCTTTTCGACGCTTCTTAAGCCAAGGTGCTCGCTGTGCCGGTGAGGCCAGGGAGTTTGCAGGTGACAGCAAAGCAACACGTCCAGGGCTTTGTGCAAGCCAACTGCGAGCCACGTTGTGCCTATCGGTTTTCAAAGGAGGAAACGCTGGCAAGATGCATCTTTTTAAAATAAAAATTAGTCTCTCCTTTGTTTAAATTCCTCCCTAGCTTCCAAAGGAGCGCCACAAAGTATCTCTTTGCTAGACAATGCTGCCGGCAGGAGGAGGGAGCCGGGAAAAGGGGGCTTCTTTCTAAAGAAAATACCTCCCTTTTCTGGGCTCCCAGCTAGCTTTTAGCAATTCCCATGATGTCACTCTTGGTAATGGAGAGATGTTTACAAAGGAGCACACAGCATCCTGCTTGAAAGGAAACTTGCAACCCAGGGAGCGCTACAAAAGTTGGGAAACTAAAAACTGTGCAGGGAGGGAGTAAAGATGCAGACAAAGAGCCTTTGTCTGCAGCGATTGGACTTGACCTCACATGACTGCGAACAATAAAGATTATGCAGGTTGGCAGTCGCGGAACTCAATGTCAGCATTATTACTTTTGGTATGCAATACATAAAAAACATTTCAGAGTGGCAACAGGCCATGAAATGGACTGATAATATTGTACATAGAAATGGTTTGGCTATACTTTTTATCCCCTTTTAAGACAAATGATTCCAGCTCATCTATTTCATCTCCCTTATCTTGAGAACAAATACAAAATTAAGAGCAGTTACTCTTTGCTATGCAGTACAGAACATTGTGTTTCCACAATTTCTTTCCATTCAAATATAATCTTTTGTTACCGTACTCTTGAAAAGTACATTTTAGCCAAAACTGCTCCCAGCTTTTCCCTTGAGTTTGCTACTGTGTTAGTACAAAAAAAGGCTTTTGTTCTAACAGAAATCATTACTGGATTAAAACCAGCATAACTAACTTCTAAACTTGCAGACATAGCACCGTGCATCTATTGAACAATTACATCCCTCTGTGTCATATAGGTTAGAACATCTTAACTATCCAAGGGAAATTACCAGCATGAGTATTTGAGAGAGATGCACTGCCAGAATTTGGGGCAAGATTCTCCCACACACTTAGTCAGTCACCCAGCATAATGATGCAAGCCTCCCTGTGCCTTCATCCTCCTAGAGAGGAATTCCCTGCTAGGGTCACAAGGTCAGTTTTG